AAACTCACCTACATCTTGGATGGCCTGAGGGTGTTTCTTCATCAGCACAGATTTGGAGAAATGTAGCATTACATTGCTTGCTCACCAATGGATCATCTGCAGTGAATGGGTGACAACTGATAAAAACATGACAAGTAACCCACTCCATTAATTAAAATTCCAGTTGTTCAAGTAGTGTCTTGTAAAAAGAAAAGTTGTGTTTTTATGAAACAAAGTTTATAACTTCAATTTATTCCAGCTAAATAAACTGGTCCATAATATTGCTTTTTAACAAGTCATCTCATCTGAATCAGGAGAGAAATATGCACAAAGCACCATCTACAAGTGAACACAGACCAAAACGCTTATAAACAAAATGTCGGTGGATTTTGATATGAGCGAACAACAGAGGATGGACTTTTTGCAGTAGAGGAAGCATTATTATGGATTAGGGACCCGTATTTTGCCCAGAAGCGAAGGTTTAAAGTTAAAACGCCTTATTGTTTCACACAGCTTTTTACTTCACAAAATATTAACTAATGGACTGGAGTCGTGTGGATTGTGATTGTGATGTTTTTATCAGCTCTTTGGACTCTCATTCTAACGGCACCCATTCACTGCAAAGGATCCATAGGTGAGCAAGTGATGTAATGCAAATTATTTTCATTTTTGGGTGAACTGTTCCTTTAAAAAAGTCAAATAAAGAATCAAAATATTGTAACATGAACAGTTTAAAGACAACAGCTGTCACTTTAAAGGGGTCATATGATGTTGCTAAAAAGAACATTGTTTTGTGTATTTGGTGTAGTGAAATGTGTTTATACGGTTTAAGGTTCAAAAAGCACATTATTTTCCACATACATTATTGTTTCTCCTCTATGCCCCGCCTTTCTGAAACGCGTCGATTTTTACAAAGCTCATCGGTCTGAAAAGCGAGGTGTGCTCTGATTGGCCAACTATCCAGTGCGTTGTGATTGGCCGTATACTTCAAGCGTGTGACGGAAATGTTACGCCCCTTTCCATACTGTGATGCTGTGTCCCGGTCGGAGCGACGAGACAAAACCAGTAAAACCCATTATAAACGAGGCATTTGTTGCATCCAGTGGGGACATAATTATGGATTATAATGACTTATACTGTCTTTTTACACATTGCATTGCATCACGCCGCGTAAACATAAAACCATGTCTGCATTTGTAATCTAACCACATGTGATGACCCCGGGCTGGACTCCGCTTCGTCCACCGTGAAAGCCGATCCAGCGATCCACAGCACGAAGTTGATATATTTCCTCAGCGACCAACACGGATCAGCTCTAGGCATGACGAAGTGGACATCATCCTCTTTTGGAAGGCCAAACAAAGTAGTTTTGCTTTCACAACGAAACACACAAGCGCCTTCACGACATGGCGGCAGCGGCAGCAACAATACTACAGCGAGAATAAAAGTTATGCTTTCTTTCTTTGCGTGAACATTTGGGCGGCGTTATGCAAATCTTCCCACATCGTGACGTAGACATGTGGGGGTGTGTTAGAACGAGCCGTTTTAGGTAGGCGTGGCTGACTCTTAACTTTTATAAAGAATATCTCTTTGGATTTGAGACTTTAGTCTCTGCAACTTTACAGATCTTCTTTATGCACCAAGAGCTTGTAACACTCCAAAGAGAAAGGAAAAATTGAAATCGCATCATATGACCCCTTTAAGAGGTGAACAAAGTATTTCAAGTATTTTTCGTCCATCTTCTCTGAACTTTTTAAGAAGTATTTTTTTTAATAACAATACAGAAATTATAAGTAGTCACTGGATAATCAAAAATTCTAAAACATGACCCAATTATGATTGTAACAATGAAAGATCCAATGGAAGACCTCTGATCAACAGATAAGACAGAGGATGACCCTGCTCATCAGTCTTCATCTTCTGGTAATGGCCTCCTCAGCTATAATTAGACAGAGTAATGACTGAAACCATCTCTGGGAGTTAATTATTTAAGTGTCCGTTCTTCATCCCTGAACTCTCATAGGAGAGTCTAGTCAGAAAGCCCTCCTCAGCGTTCATCAGAGTTTGGAGTTGCTTGCTTTTCAGATGCTGATACACCTTATGGATTTATTCGTTTGTATGTTGTTAACCTGGTTTTGCAGACGGTATCACCATAGGATCAAAGTTAAAGTTAAACTTGATGAATACTTTACAAGTGACAGAAAATGATCAAATACATTTAATCTTTAATGTTAATAGATCATCTGCTAATGTGTTTACAATAATCTTCTAGTCCAATTATGTTTTAATTGTTTAATGTTTAGTTATTGTATATTTATTTTGCTCCTAAAAGAACATTGTATTTTAACCTTTTGTTTGTCCGCTGACTTATTGACTATGGTGTGTTTATGACATGCCACAGGTTAAAAATTTGTTTCACTGCCCAGATTTCGAGGTATTTTCAGAGCTGACAGTGTAACATGAACCCCGGCAGGCTTGTAGTTGGTGTTTTCCTAAGAGGAGTCACAAATACGGCAGCAGTTCAGCTCAAACCTCAGGCTATTATCTAAATTTGCATGCTATTTGTTTTATGATATTCAGATCCTTCGAGTAAATCGAGAGAATAGCAGGCACAAGCTCACATACTGGTGATACAGAGCTGCCTGCTACATCTTGCTTTCTTTTATTGCAGCAGGTATTCTCAAGAATAAATACTTGGCCACCATGCAAACAGTAAAGCTAAAATGATAAAGTTCTACAAATTTCTGCAGTATTTGTATGCAACTCATTCACATAGTTACGTATGTCGCTCAGCCACTATTTATTAAGTATTCTAGATAATTTGATAGTGCTTTCTGCTGCAAATAAGAGTGTAGTATTTATTGTACTATATTTAAATCCATTCTGTAGCATTTTGCAGATAAATTGTTTATTTTGGCTGATTTGATAGTGCTTTCAGAAACAAATACTAGAAGGTGACTAACGCTAGAACACACTTTGAGATCTTAAGAAATTTTAAAATGAAATTATGAAAAAAAAATATAAAAAATTATAAAATTATTTTGTATATAGTCTTATTTATGTTTCATTTAACATATTGACTAAGGTATACTCTTAAAAGTAAAGGTTCTTTATTGGCATCAATGGTTCAGTGAAGAGATGTTAAACCATATAGAACTTCTCCACTGCACAAAATGTTCGTGATAGTGGAAAAAGGTTCTACAGGTTATCAGAATGTTCTTCACCCAAAGAAAAAAATTGTTCTTTTAATAACTGTTCACTGAAAGCCTCGTTTTGGGGATCCCAAAACAATTCTACTATGGCTCTGTGAAAACCCTTTTTTAGAAGCTTTATTTTTTATAGCATAAGAATGAATAAACTATAAATAAAGATGTGTAAGATAAAGAGAGAATATATTTCCTTCTTGGACTAAATGGACGAACTGAAGCAATTGATATGCAAATTGGAGTTCAGTAAGTGAGTCATGTTTTGATTCAGGAGCAGTAATGATTCATTGACAATGAATTTCATTTTACAAAGCAAGTCATGTGTTGGTTCAGTAGTCACTCTTGACAGATACAGCGAGTTCATTCATTGGATTCCTCAGACTGAATCAAACAACTCCTGATTTTCCTGGGTTTTAGTGCGCTGATTTTACCATATATAAATTAATTCCGTGAATTTTGAAAATTTAGGAATGAAAAACACTGAAAATCCCCAACATAGTTTACATCAGTACTCTAAGATTGCTAATCTGCAAATGAGAAACCTTAGTAATAAATCAAGATCACAAAAAGGATTTTAAACTGATCAATTAGTATTTTTATATTATAACCACCACTTCCAGGAAAAACAACTTGTTGTTTTCTCATTGCAATGGTTGGTTTTCTGAAATATCTAGCTGAAAACACAGGATGAAATTGATACAATGCATCTAAACCTAACAAGAGGATGTGGTGGAGAGGAGGAAGAGAAAGATGAGGGGGTGTGTCAGGCTTTAGAGCCACTAAATCCCATTATTAATTTCAGTTTTCTATGGCGCTTATGTTCTTATGAAAACAATACAATTTCCTCTGGTGGCATTAACCTCCCTCGTCCTAATAGCAGCCTCTGTCCTTGGTACTGAAAAAGTCAAAATCTGATTTAGTTTGTGAGGTTTGCAAATGAAAGCTTGCCTTTTTCATGGATGTAAACAGACATACCTTGACATTTGCAAATTAGGGCATGAGATTCACTTGGGAATGTGTGCGGGCATCTCTTAAAAGGCTTGGTTTTACAAATTAGATCGTCAGTGGTCAAGTCACACCCTTTTGTTTTTCACAAGCAGTGTTATTTCTTGAGAAATTTTGATATAAAATGCCTTTATGGAGAAATTAACGTATAATAACACATCAGCATTTCTGCTCACCTGTATTGGTCTGATACCTTATACCCTCTGAAGATTATGACGCAGAAGATGCCGGTGTTAAGCAGCAGATGGTTATGCTCTTTGTGACTGTGTTTTACAGAAGCAGATGCTGCTGGTATGAATGAAATGATTTACAGAGGAATAGAGGAGTGTGTTTCACTCTATAATCCCTGAGAGATGGCATCATGTTCCCGGTTCCATTGTTGTCCTGTCTGCCCTTGAGTTCATCTCACTGTAAAGCACTCCTGGCCATCAATACTGGCCCATCAGACTGGCACAGAGAGGGGCTGATTGGTTTGGCATTGTGAGAGAGCAGGAACCACAGTGCCAATGTGGGACGGCTATCAGTTGCCACAGTGAACAGTCGGGGCTAAAGGACATCTGCCAAGCTGGTTATCGCAGACCTTACCACAGACCTTTGCCGCGCTTATTGATTGTAATAGCATTTGAGGTGGACAGGTTGTGAATAATAATAAATCCACTTAAATACTTAAATCCTGTCTGCATCAACTATGTGTTTGCAGTGTAACGGGGATCTTTTGTTGTTGGCTGCCCTCTAGTGGTGACAGAAATGTAACAAGAGATGTTGAGTGACCATTATTGGAAAATTTCAGATATCTCCCCCTTTTCGCAGGTGTGTGTTTGCCGTGCTTTGTGGATGTGGTTCCAGTTAAGAATGAGGATGGCTTAGTCATCATGTTCATCCTGAATTTTGAGCTTGCAGATCAGCAGGACAGACCCCTCGACAGCTCACCAGGCAGAGAGATCAACCACAAACAAACCATCCCATGGCTCTCTAAAGGTACTCAGATGGGACTGACAGATTTGATTAATTACAGTACCTTATATTGAATTTGTATTTTAGTTCTGGTGTTGGTTCCTCAAGTTTGTAAAGATATTTGTATATGTTTTGTATTGTACAATTAATTGGTCTACTTTAGTAGAAGTAGTTTGTAACTCCTAGGATTGTATGTTTAAATTAGTTAAAAGCTGATTATTTATTTTTGTATGATCAGTGATATCATGTATGCTTATTGCTTACATGTCCGATAACCAAAATGGCAAACCAGTTTTTCATTGTTTTTACAATACAGTATAACACAAAATTTATAACAGGCATTTATAAATATTAGTGCTGTCAAATGATTAATCGCAATTAATTATTTGACAGCACTAATAAATATGATAAATCTTATGAAGATGCATTATGAATATTTTAATTAGAACAATAACAAAAAATTTTTTTTTACAAGACTTACTACATCATTCTATTTCTTTATCTGTCGTTTTGTTTATCGTTGTCTGTTTATTGCTGTGTTTCATAATTCAGAATGACTGGCTCTTACTTAAAAGTTGAATAGTTTATGTAAACAATGGGTTGGTTACTTGTCCTGTGAACACCATTGTTTCCTGTTACACACTCTTGCGTTATGGCATTGTTGAATGCTTTTTAACTAAATGGTAGTATTTATTGGTAGACTTGGTTTTGAAGAACTGGTTAGTGTGAATAAGGACTAAAAATAACATAAATGTTGTCATAAGCATCTGTAATGGAATATTTATATGCTGCTTGTTAAACATTTTATGTTGCCAGATTGCACGCCTATTTTTAAATGACTGTCAATGAAGATGCTTTCAGGCTGCAGTATAGTTATAGCTTTTGTGGGACTCCAATTCATGAGCTACCATCACTGTGTTTGAATAACATAATGTAGCAATAATCTGACAAATACTTAACTTCCTTACTCTTTGGTATTTCCTCAGCAAGAAGACGGCGTCTCAGGTTGCCTCTGCTGCGCTCCCTGAGTGGCAGTAAACAGTCTGTGAATGAAGATTCTGAAAAAGGCTACATGCAGCCGATGCCCCATATGGGCCATGAGTCAGTAGCCCTGGACAAACTGCTCTCCCTGCCTGACCGCTCTGCACTGGGAGGATCTCAGCTGTTTTTGTGGGAAGATAAGGCACAGAATGAGCCTGAAAGTGAGCCAAGGCCATCAGAAGCGTCCCCTCCCCTGCCTCAGGGCTTCTCTCAGTCCTCCCCTCGTCTGCACAACCTCACCTCAGAGGCATCTCCATCCAGCTGCAGCATGGCACACAGCCGCTCCTGCGAGAGCCTGTGTGGCATGCGGCCCTCACCCTCCACCAATGACTTCAACTGGGACAGGAAGCTGCCCGTCAGACCCAGTAGCACAGGTAATGACACAACCAGCTGGCCAACTAGGTATTCTAACTTGTGTTGCAAAAAAAGTGATAAGAGAAGAGCAGCCAACATGAATGACAGTCCAGTAAACAGTTGAATGGTCACTTTGCAACAAATATGACCACTGAATAGTTGCAACTGACCAATCAGAATTAAGTATTCCAGAGAGACGTGTGATAATTGAAAACAAAGACAAAGTAATAGATGATGAGATTAATTAGATCTTTGTTTTATTTTCTTCTAGGTGCCATGCACCGCAAAGCCAGCTTGCAGAATGCTACTTCCGATTCAGATCCCATTCGGCTCCGGACCTCAGCTCAGGGCCCCCGAATATCACACACCTTAATAGATATGAAGCCAGACCCCTTAATCGCTGTTCCACCGGGTGAGATTGACATCATCGCCCCCTGCAAACTGATAGACCGGACCCATAATGTGACAGAGAAAGTCACTCAGGTGAGGTTGAAACTCTTTTAATTGAGAATGTGACTCGATGACAAAACTTTTCCAAAAATAAAGCAGTTTTGGAATGTCAAATAGAAAAAAAAATAAAAATTCTGCATCACCATACCTAATCTTAGTATCAATAAGCAGCAAATTAGGAGTTTATTAAAACTCTTAATAGTGTTAATAGTGAGTAAATTTAATAGTGAATACGTGTTTCCTAAATATGAAGTGTCACCTAAGATTTAAAAAAAATATATATAATAATTTTATTCAGCAAGGACGCTTTAAAAGTACCATGATTTCCAAAAAAAAAATTAAGCAGCACAACTTTTTCCAACATTGATAATTGTAATAAACAAATTTTATATATATATATATATATATATACAGTATGTGTGTATGTGTATGTGTGTGTGACCCTGGACCACTAAACCAGTCTTAAGTTGCATGGGGTCATTTGTAGCAATAGCCAAAAATACATTGTATGGGCCAAAATTATTGACTTTTCTTTTATGCCAAAAATCGTTAGGATATGAAGTAAAGATCATGTTCCATTAAGATATTTTGTAAATTTCCTACTGTGAATATATCAAAACTTAATTTTTTGATTAGTAATATGCATTGCTAAGGACTTCATTTGGACAACTTTAAAGGCGATTTTCTCAACATTTCGATTTTTTTGCTCAGATTCCAGATTTTCACATAGTTGTATCTCGGCCAAATATTGTCCTATCCTAACAAACCACACATCAATGGAAAGCTCATATGTTCAGCTTACAGATGATCTACAAATCTCAATTTAAAAAAATTGACCCTTATGACTGGTTTTTGGTCCAGGGTCACATATGTGTGTTCATATATATATATATATATATATATACACACACACACACACACACACACAAAATATTTCATAACCACTTGTGTCATTTGGCCAAATCTGAGTAAAGAATGCAGTAAGAATGCAAAATATCAGCCGCTTAATTAGCCTGACTGATATATAGGCCTGTCACTGCTTAGGTCATTGTTATTTCACCCTCCCTTATGTGATGTGATTATGCAGTGGTTTTTAGCAGTTTTTTTTATCCAGTTGGTGGCAGTAAAACAGCTTTTATGTAATACATATGGATGTAGCACTGGTCATTTAGGTGGGATTTTAAACTGTGGTCTGAAGGCATTCTCCACAGCAATGTAAAAAACTGTAGTTAATGCACATGCAGTTCATTTGTGCAGTCTTTTATAACTATCCCACGGGAATATCTCATACCTGGGGTTAATGCAGCATCCTGGTCAGGGTCATATAGGTGACAGCTGCTCATGGCTGGCTGAACAGACACTTGCCCTCCATGAAGGGCTTTCTAACAGAGCGCAGAGGGAATGAGGTCATGCCAAAGGTCACATGGCACATGCCGCGAGGTGTCCTTCCATTTTCAGCTGAGTTATCTGGATGCTCCATGACAGAAAGATCTATATCTCCACAACTGAGTAGCCATTAGCACTCATGTGAATGTGTGTTCCGAGATGCTTAGTCATTTGTCACTGTTTAGAGTAGTGCCCTGTTGACATCAGTAGTTTCACATTTTTAGGTTGTAATTTACTTTAATTGAAGTTTATACATCCATGGCATATCTAAATATCATTCAAAATTAACAAAGTGTTTTATTGTTTTATTTTTTGGGGTCACATTTAAAAAGTGTTTTTGGTGTGTATAGTGTAATAATAATAATCATATATATATATATATATATATACATGCATCATTAAGATTTTAATATGTTTAAATTAAATTGCTCAAAAGATCACTAAAAAATTATTTTTCAAGTAAATGTTTTTCTTTTGAACTTATGTTCATCAGAGAATTCTGAAAACAATGTTTCACGGTTTTCAACTTTGATAATAATAATAATAATAATAAATGTTTATTGAGCACCAAAATCAGCCTTTAATAATGATTTCTAAACTGTAATGTGACACTGAAGACTGGAGTAATGGCTTTTTATATTTGTATAAATATTTCAATAGAAAACATTTATTTAAAATAATAAAAATATTTCACAATATTACTGTTTTTAATTTTATTTTTGACCAATAAATACAGCCTTGGTGACTTCTTTCAAAAATCTTACAATGCCAACCTTTTGAACAGCAGTGTATCTTTATTTATTTATTTAGTTAGTTAGTTTAGCACTTATTTTTCAGCGCAGACAGTATTTTTGTTTCTGGTAAGGAAGGTGATTTCACTGAGTTGTGTTTTGCACAGGTGACTTGCAGCTGCAGTTGTTGTGAATTGCTGATGTCTGTGCCAGAGGAGCTTCTGACTCTCCTTAACAGGGATTGATGTGCTATTTTGGTCAATGTAATGCTGTAGGGAAATAGAGGGATACCTCATCCCCTTCCTCTTCCTCTGTCTGTCCCCTCACAGAAGTGGCGTCTCTCTGGTGTTTCTCTCCAGAGCCCCAACCCACTTAAAGTGTCATTAGCTCATTAATCACATAGGCACACTCACAGGAGGCCTGAGCTCTTGCCTGACCTGCTGGAACAACCACCCCAAGCAATAAGCTCTTTCCATCAGAAGCTCTTCATTATTTCTCTGTTGTTGTATGTGTGGGTGGGTGTGGGTGGTGGGTCCTGGAATTATTGGGTACGATGACAAAAACGGTTTGTTTAGTTAATGAATTATGCAGTATGGAATTGTTATGGCGCAGATCAAGTTGTATTTGATTGTAGACAAAACTCATGAGAAGTCCCTTTCACCCACTGACAATGTGATGACGTTTTTACAGTCTCCAGCTTCTGTAAAATGCTTACATACTACCAAGTCTATAGCTAAGCCATATGGCTGATCCTAAATTGATGTTGATAGACATTCATTCTGAGATCTTGCAAACGGAGAATAGCTAATGAATATGCTAAGCCAACTCATGTGAAGTTGTGACTAAATAGACTTCCCATTGAGCAGCTGTGGTCTAGATCACAGGATGTGTTTTTGCATTCAAAAATACCTAGACAGAGTGAAATAGAATGGAGCAACATTTTAAGGTTTTAGTTCACTTCCAGAATAAAAATTTCCTAATAATTTACTCACCCCCATATTATCCAAGATATCCGTGTCTTTCTTTCTGCAGTCGAAAAGAAATTAAGGTTTTTGAGGAAAACATTCCAGGATTTTTCTCCATATTGTGGACTTCAATGGCAGCCAATGGGTTGAAGGTCCAAATTGCAGTTTCATTGCAGCTTCAAAGGGCTCTACACGATTCCAGCCGAGGAATAAGGGACTTATCTAGCAAAATTAATTTTCTTAAAAAAAAAAAAAATTCATATACTTTTTAACAACAAATGCTTGTCTTGCACTAGCTCTGTGATGTGCATCCGTGGCTTCATGCATTATGTAATCACGTTGGAAAGTTCCTTGACACACAGTGGCTTAACACCGATTTCATGAAGGAAGATGCTTAAAAAACAGTGAATGTTGCAGTAACCATTAGAAAACAATGTAATGTTTCACATTGCTGTTCAAAAAGTTTTTTTTAAAGAAATTAATACTTTTTTCAGTATTAAATTGATCAAAAGTGTCAATTTTTGTATCAATGTTAGTGTATTTACTTTTTCCAAATCAATGCTGTTCTTTTTTTATTTAATTTTATGAAAGAATTCTGAAAGAGTTGTATCTCCACAAAAATATAATTGCACACAACTGTTTTCAACATTGATAATAAAATGTCTTGAGCAGCAAATCAGCGTATTAGAATGATTTTCTGAAGAATCATGTGACACTGAAGACTGGAGTAATCATGCTGAAAACTCAGCTTTGCCATCACAGAAATAGATTTGGTTTTAAAGTATAGTAAAACATTTCTTTTAAATTGCAACCCCACACTTTGTCAAATGTACGTCAAATACATTTACTGTATATAGATAGTCAAATTGAAAGGCAGAAATGCAGCACATTTTATTTTTATCTCAGGTTCTTGACATATTCCCTGTTTCCTAACCAGGTGGACAATGGCAGATGATTACATGCTGCATTGATCAGCTTGTGTGGGATGCACAGTGAGTTTGCGCAGTGATCAGTAACTATTAGCTCTGAGATGTTCTAAGAGAGGATTTTGCTTTTATAACTCTCCCACCTTGATACTCAAAAAAGGCAGTGCATGATGTTTCAGTTACTCATAAGTGTTAGTTCATGGTTTTCACAATGTGTAGTAGATTCTGCTGTGGAATCCAGACAGATAAAAGAATTTCCTGTGAGAAATACATTACTGACCTTATTTTTTTTTTTTGGCTGAATCAGTTCAAATGGTGAAATGGTGTCCCAGATGTGTTTAAACACTGGGCTGCTCTCCCGACTATCTTTTTCATGTTTTTTTTAGGCCTATACTTACCTAAACAACAGCTGGGGCTAGGCTGCACATTATTTTCCACATACTGTACATTATTGTTTCTCCTCTACGCCCTGCCTTTCTGAATCACGTCGAAAAGCGAGTCTGAAAAGCGAGGTGTGCTCTGATTGGCCAGCTATCCAGTGCACTGTGATTGGCCAAATACCTCAAGCGTGTGACGGAAATGTTACGCCCCTTAACATATTGTGATGCCCTGTCCCGCCAGAGCGACAAGACAAAAACATTAAAATCCATTATAAACTAGGCATTTGTTGCATCCAGTGGGGACATAATTACGGATTATAATAACTTACACTGTCTTTTTATGCGTTGCATTGCATCGCGCCACGTAAACATAAACCATGTCTGCATTTGTGATCGGAGAAATGACAAACTACAAACGCTACTCTACACTGCTCAAAACTCGCGTTTGAATCGTCAGTGGCAAATTCTTTAAATATAAAAAAACGTACTTACAGTCTGTGAGTCAGAACAGCTGGCATTGTAGTCTACTCTACCAGGATCAGGAAACAGGATCGGAATATTTGGGTAGAAGTGTTCTGGAACAGTGTTGTAAATACAACTTAACCACTGATTTCTAGTCGTGTCCTCTTTTGGAAGGCCAAACAA